TTTTTTTTTTTTTGCAATTCACACATATATGCATAGAAAAGGGGAAAAAAAACCCCTCTTGTTTTCTAAGAACCTGTCTGTAATGACATTAAAAACAGAGTAGCTGCATAATGATGGTGTATTAGTGGCTTGATGCCTCTTGCTGTGAAGTCATTGGACTAATGGTAATACAAATATTTTTTCTTTGTGGCCCTTTACAAAGTGGCTGAAAACCATTTCACAGGCTTATGGCTACGTTAGTTATGGAAGGTTAGTGGGCTATTATAACCTATTGCTTGATGTTACATTGCTGGCGCAACTTGTGTGGTCACTTTACATTAAGATAAAGAAAGAGGATAATGAGGCGCTGCTAAAGCGGAGTGGATACTTCTGGCCTCTGGTTTACACTCATTTCACAGTGGTGTGACAGTACAGCTTTCTGGGTAAAGAGGAGATGTGCCTTATAGCAAAGCATTCTTGAGTTCTGTCTCAAGGTTTTTTAAAGTTCTTGGGTATAGACTCCTTTGCCACTGAAACGTGGTAGAAACTTTGGCAGCTTAACTAAAAAAATAGTTTCATAATGATGGGGGAGGGAATCTATAACATGGTGGTGTATATGAAGTCTTGATTTGGGCATGTTATTACTGATCATCAATCTTTTTTTTTTTAATTGTGACTTAAAAAAAGAAAAAATCTGTGTACATAGAGCTTCCACTCCTAACGTATTTACATGAAGGATATATCCACCCTGTGTGTGTATCTGGATTTAAAAAAAAGTCCTCTAAGTAGTTCAAGAAAAAGATGCTACTACAGGCTTGCTGAGAGAGGATTAATGAGGAAATGTCTTCCCTTATCTGGATTTCTAGAAGTTACAGTGGTTCACTTCCTCTTAGCAGAGAATTATTATACAGAATGACACTAGGCACTATATTAAATAAATATGTCATTATCTATTTGTTCTCTGGGCTTGGTATTTTGGTTAAATTTGAAATTATTTGCTCGACAGCTGTTCACTTGTCAGATGAAGGGATCACCTTGAAATAATTTGCAATGGAGTGTGGTATGTTTGAATAACTAAAAGTCAGGGAGAATCTTGAAATTTGGGAGATGTCCGGGAGGATCTTTTTTGCATAAATACTAGCTTTACTCTGCATACCTTTTATTCCCCTCCCCCCCGCCCCCCTTTTCTCCAGTACTGATACTCGAAAAGGTGGAAAATGGAGATCTGAGCAACAAGATATTGAAGATCACGGATTTCGGCTTGGCCAGGGAATGGCATAAAACTACCAAAATGAGTGCGGCTGGGACATATGCCTGGATGGCTCCTGAGGTCATCCGCTCCTCAATGTTCTCCAAAGGCAGCGATGTGTGGAGGTATTGATTTGGCATTAAGTGATTGGATACTAAAGAGTAACTAGACCTGCCAGGAAACCTCTTTTATGTTTAAAAATGGGTAATGGTGAACCAAATATTAAAATTCAGGTCTTAAGAAAACTTTATCCACCAGCTTTCCATCTATCAGACTCTCAGACTACTTTGTATTAATTGTAAACTTTTTTTTAACTGTAGAAAGTGGTGGACCAGCTCCTGCATCCCCCTAAATTTTTGTTCTATAAATTTATGTTCAGATTATCCTAGGATTCATAATCTCAATTCCCTCTGCTTTATCTAAAACAAACTTTTTGTGCTTGTTTTGGCTGTTGGCTGACATAATCAAAGGCCATAAAACAATCTGTGATGTACTTAAAATTACTACTTTTTTACTGTTTTACCAACAGTAAGATCATTTTATGTTTTGGTAGTAGTCTGTCACTGATGTATTTGTACACAAACACTGTACCTAATCGAATTCCCCATGCAGTTGCAGCCTGAATACAATGTTTTTCGCTTGCATAATAATCTTGTGAATTATTTCCACCTTTCTAGTCTTTCACATAAAATAATACATCTCTAGGTTCGTCTGAATATGTAATCCATAAGTAGTAATTTGCATGTATATATTGTATTTTCCATTCATGCACTGGGATTTTTGAGAACAGGAGCTACTGTGGTGGGGAGGAGCATAAGGGTCGGCCCGTAGACTTCCAGAAACTTGAGTTTGAATACGACCATTAAGTGAATTGGTAAATCCAGAATTCAGCAAATAGCTCTAGGACAGTGACTTTTCTGGATGCTGTGTGACATAGAATTAGTACTGAACATCTGCAACAGATGAAGTAGATGGAATTTTGGTTTTCCTGTGGGGAGAGAGGTATTGAAATGTCAGGGTGACTTTGTCTTCAGAGCAGTAAGATTCTGTCACTGGCCAGTAATGCTCCCACACAAGTGTGCATGCTGTGAAATCTGTCAGGATAAAGAAATATCCCAGCTAGTAGAATTGTTTGGCTGTTATGGCAGAGATTTGGTGTGGGGATTTTCATTTTCCTTATCCAGTTTTGCTGAATAGATAATGTATTGCCTTGTGATAAGTCTGTGAACTTGTATTTTGCACACTAATGGTGTGGATAAAATTCTGACTCTGTAATTAAATGTGGTAGCCTCTGTAGTTAATCTGAGACGAATTGAGCAAGAACCAGGCTTTTATTCTGAGTGAAGTCTGGCAGAAATGAAAACCTCAAGGCTCTGCACCTTTTCTGTGCACATGATGACAGTACTGGTTTGTACACAGTTTGTCAAGCTCAAACCTCAATTTGCTCTTCTCTGAAACAGTGCCAGGAGTGGCCCTTTAAGGGTATCCTGGAAGAGAGGGAGAAGGGAAGGGGGAAACAAATTCCCCATGACTGTAACTTTAATAATCCAGGCACGCTGTGAACAGAGCAGTAGATGTTCTGTACCAGTATGACCCCATTTTAGAAAAGATAAGACTTAATAGGTCAGTTGGTGATTTTCATGAAGGTATTTCAAGTGCCTCTATACCTGTGCAAAAATACCAGTTTGGTCATTGACTTAAGGACTTTGAATTACTTCAGGACTTAAGGATTGTAAATAACAAATTATTTGTTGGTTTTTCAGAATACTATATTTCTATTTTTAAGTTTCCTTCATCACTTGCTCTTTTTATAGTTACCAATCTTCCCTTGAAAACAGGTTGAGTTCCTCTCAGTGCTCTTCCTTAAACAGAGGGTCGTCACCATTAAGAGAGCTGTTACACTGTCTCTGAATAAGCCTTCTCTCTCTGGTGGCCAAAACCTTGAGTCATAGTTAAATAAGCTGAAAAGAACATGGTGTTTGAGGCATGTATGCAGAGGACAAATACTTGCAGTGCGGTCACTACTAGTGTGTCAGTGATTGTAAGCACTGGATTTTATAAAAGCAGTCATGGACATGTGTAATAAATCCTGTCCCCACCCAAGGATGCAACTTGATATTCTTAACAGGATGAACTTTTTTTATCCTATTAGACTTGCCCCTCCTCTTGTCCACTTCAACCTCTTGGTTAGTCACTGGAGTTGAGTTTTTTGCCTGACAACCTTCCAGTTAGCCTGTGCAGCATCAGCAAAATTGGCTGTCTCTGTCTCTAATGTTCACAAACCCTTTTACTTCAACACCTTTTCTTTAAATCTTATTAGAATAATACTGCTGGCTGAATTGTTGCCCAGCCTTTTAGCAAGAATCTTGTTCTGCTTGTGTTCTCGCTGCACAAACAGGTGAAGAAAATGCTTGCCAGGACTGAAATTTCCTGAGTCAGTCTCATCTCATCATAAATAACTGCTTCATACAATTCCTTTCAAAACATGTAGCAAGCTCCATTTAAAAAACTCAATCTGTTTTTTTTTTTTTGTTTTGTTTGGTTGGTTTTTTTGTCCCATTCTAAAGGAGGGTTGACAAAGAACTTAAAAGGCTGAGGAATGCTCCCACACACTGGTGTCTATCACCAGGGTCTGGGCCACTGTAAAGCTTGTTGATAATAACAGTACTTAGTACATCTTGCTAGTGAAAAATTGTTGCTATGAATTTTGCTGTGCTGCACCCGCAAGCTTTAGATATACAGCAGAAACCTTGTGCTTATACTGTACAGAGGACAAAGAAGCCATGGTTTTATTTAAATATGTCAGTTCCTGTAAATCTATTTACGTGTTTGAGAAGAGAGTTACATATTTGCTTTGGATTTACAGGGGGGAAGTTGAACCACAGATATTGCAGCTTATCCAGTACTGTACAGCAAGCTAATGTTAGTAGGCATATAATTCAAATTTCCCTGTCATTTTAACTGCTTAAATGTATTTCTTGTTTGCCGCACGCTTCATTTTTGACTTGTGCTGCTTAAAAGACAATCGTGTTGTCTATATTCCGCATTCTAATCATGTTAAGCTACCATACAACCTTCATCTGAGTTCCCTGTGTTCTTCAATTTACATGCTTTTAAGATGTATCTACTCTGAGACCAGTGAAATAATTAGGAATTTAATTTTCATTTGGGAATGGAATACCAGAACTACTTAAAACCATCTGATTAGCAGATCAGGATGTTTCAGGCATTCAGTGTTGGGTGTAGGAACTTCAGTCATTAGAATATTTCATTTGAATCAAGTGTTGGCAAGCACTTCCATCCACAACTGACTGCTTCCAGGCTTCTGTAATCTTCTGTGTGTAATGAAGCACTGGCAAGACTTCAGTACCTGGCAGACAAATGTTGACTAGCAATATTGGTAGAAGCTCATGTGGGAGAAGTGTATGCAACTGACTGTTGTGAAATAAGCAGGAAATGTCATCTCTGGAACTGCCAGTCCAATAACATGCAAAATGCTCACTGTTAATAGCCATTAAAATGTAATGAAGTTTTTTCCGTAACAAAAGTAATATTCTACTTTCTGTTGTTGCTGGGATCTCCTTGTTGGGCTGATAGTTCCTTTCTCATGGAAGGTGCTGAACCTCGGGAGATGGATAAGAGGAACCTATGGTATAAATGCCATTGAACAATAACAGTGAGAAGAAATTACTGTTTTTCTCTAAGTTCACAGACTTACAAAGGAGATGGCAAAATCACGTGTGAAATCCTGCAGACCTCCAGCCTCCCTCTCCCTGAAAATCCAGTGTGTAGGATTGAACCTGATGTTAAATGGCTTAAGGGATTACTGGATCACTGGGAGATGGTTAATTATTCATACAAGTGTCAGTTGACTTGGACGCATGGTTTGTATCACATGGTTCATTTTGTAATTAAAGTCCAAAAATTACTACTGGGTGCTGGAAAAATAAATGAGCTCGATCAGTTTTTCTTCCTCCCTGTTGAGAATGAGAGGCCCTTGACTCTTCTTACGCCTTTTTTGTATAAATCTCTTCTGTCTCTGGCTTTTTCCTTTGTAATTGCCAATCCCCTCCTTGAGAGCTAATGGAAAACACTGTTCAGCACCTTTCTTGCTGTTTAATCACTTGGGATGATTGTTGTTCAAATGCCACAAAGCAGTGTTTCCCTAGTTCTGTGGAAGCAGTATTCTCAGCAATGAACTGTAGGTATGTGAGGAAGAGGTGGCATTCAGTTTTGTCACAAACAAAGTGACCTTTTCTGCAATACATACTTCTAGTGTCATGTTAGAAGAAACTCCAATCTGTCCGTTCCTTTGTCTTTTAAAAATTAGCCTGCAGAAGAAATGCTTTGAGCACATCAATAGTGCTTTCCTGACTGTTCCATTAAGAGAAATAGCTAATATATGCTTTCTCCAGCACTCGTGGTAAAGTATTAACACAACTCTTCGGTAGTTTCTCCTACCTTTTGATAGCAACACATGCATCCAAACTGAAGAGTAACATGAACAATCAATCAGATTTAGACAGGCCAAATATATATTCAGTTCAGTATTCATTTCCTTTGAGTGTCTTATGAATCCTAGGAGGCCAAAAAGAAAATGGGAAATCCTTAAACTCCTGTTTATTTTTTTCAAATGAGGCTCTTGAGACAGTAAGAAATTGATTATTTCTTTCCATCAAGGTTCTCAATTATAATTATCATTATAATATCAAGAGTATGAATTACATAGGAAAAATGCAAAAGATTGTATAAGTGAAAAAGTATGATATTTTGCTTAATAAACTAACTGTGTTAGCAGCAAAGGTGGAATCTCTAGTGACTGAAATTCCATATCTAAATAGGAAAAGCAGTATTAAGACTGTCCAACTAAGGTGGCAGCAGGTACAATGAATGTATAGACTTGGCGGGGTTGGGGGGAGATTGCAAGAATACAGGTTGCGATAATGAAAATTTTGATTACTCTCAAATGGATAGGGCAATTGTTGATTTGAAACAAGAAGAGATTAATCTTTTAGCTTCAGAAATGACTGTTTCATGGAGCAGCTATTCAGGGAGCTTTTAAGAGGACAAGCAGTTTTTCATTTGGTCTTCAGGTGTGCTTAGGAGGCCTTCAAAACTGTACAATATGACCATGGTCAAAATATATGTATACTTAGATTCAATATCTTTGCAAAAGCAATTAAGAAAAATTAGTCCATTACAGTAGTGTTTAATCTCAAGGAGATTAATGAAAACATTGAGAAATTTTGTGTAAAACAACAAAAGGGGAACGCGCAACATGGATATCTTTTAAGGACACTATGTTAAAGCTCAGAGCAAATGCTTAGGAAAGACTTTAAATGAATGAAGATGATGATGTAGAAGAGACTACTGAAAAGTTGACTACTTCAAAAAGTTGAACCTGTATCCAAATGAAAATTAGGCATGGACTTGAGTGTTTTACGTTTGACTTGCCAGCACTTAAGAAGATTAAAAGGGTTTTGAGGAGAGTCTTGTGAAAAGCATAAAAACAAATAAATCGCTTTCAAATGCAGCACAGGTGAGAACCCTGCAGGAGAACATACGGCATAGAGGTGACCAAGATGTAAGAGTGCAAAGAAGATAAGGCTATAGCAGAAAAAACTTAGTAAGTGACTTGTGTCTGCTAGAATGGAGCAAAGAGAGGCTTTTTAAGCTGAAAATTTCTCTTTAAAGGAGCTGAGCTGGAGGACATCTCATACTGAAGTACTGTCCACAGAGGTGTTAAAACTGACTGATAAAATGAACAGTAACAAATTGCTGGGATTTACAGTAACACCCAGGACTTCTACAGGAACATGAGCGAGCCAGCTGAGTTAATAGCTGTGCTGTGTAATCTGTTGCTTAAAGCTGCCTTAATACCAGAGAAATGGAAGGCAGCAAACATGATGACAGGTCTTAAAAGAGCTTCCTGAGGATCAGCAAGTCTGATTTTCAGTTCTACTAAATGGTAGAAACAGCACTAAGAGCGAGGAGCTGGTGGACATATGAGAATATCTGGGGAAGAGTCAGCTTTTGTAGAATGAAATCATACTATGTGAAAAAATGAAAATTCTTGAAGGAGTTATTGAGCATGTGGACAAGTGATAAGATTGCTTATACCATATTTGGATTTGTAAAAACTTTCAACAAAATCTTTCATCAAAAGCTTTTAAAGAAAGTAAATTGATGTGGGAGAAGAGGGCAAGTCTGTTTCCCATCACTTAGTCAATTCTTAATTACTAAAGGAATACATCGGTTTTCTTGGTGGGGAATTTTGTGTTCAACATAAGAGATTTGAAAAAGCTTGTGTTCAACATAATAAAAGAGATTTGAAAGCAATAAATGCTTAGGTAACACTTATTGATGATACCAAGTTATTCAGGATAAGAAAAAATTAATCTACTGTAGAGAGCTAAGGAAAAGTTTTGTTATACTGAATGATAAAATAGATGAAATGGTAACAAATACAAAGTAGTACCCATGGGAGAATTTCACATGTACAATTATGGGCTCTAAATTTTACTATTATGATTCAGTAAAAAGATATTAGAGTTACTGTGAGTAACCTAGCTCATTTTGTAAGGAGTCAGAAAGGCAAGTAGCAAATTAAAATTTAATAGAAAAGAAATAAAGAAGAAAACAGGAAATACTGTGCCTCTCCCCATATCTTTAAAACTTATGTGATTTTGGTCATTCCAACATAAAAGGTTTCAATGGAATGAGATGGTACAGAAGATGTCAAGGTCAATGAAAGATATGAAATGGCTTCTGTTCAGGAGACTAAGTAGACTAGGATTTAGCTAGATTAGGATTTTGGGGGCTGGAAAGAAGATGATTTAGGTAGGATGTAGTGGTAGCCTGTGAAATCATGGATGGCATGGAAGGAGCTAATAGGGAACATATGTTCACTCTTCCTTGTATTGAAAGAACTACAGGGAAGCAAATGAAATTACCAGGTGATAAGCTCAAAACAAACACATGGAAGTATTTTCTGGCAATGCGTCATTAAATTTGTGGAACTCGCTACTACAGAACATAGTGGATGGTAAATGGGTTCAGAAGAGAATAAGACAGATCAATGGAAGAAAAAACTGTCAGGTCACTAACTATGAAGAAGCCGTCTCTGGCTCAGGTTTCCTAGAAGTAGAGAGAATATTCTGATGATACGTTGTTTGTCATATACCTGGGGGAAGAACAGTCCTGGAACTATTTCCATAACTTCATAGTTAATATTTCACAGAACATCTGAAGAACAGCCTAATTCTGAAGAAGTATTTTTCACTTATTTTTAAAAATCACAACTCGCCAAACAACCCTCCTTCACATTTGAGAGTTTCCCTGGGTTCTGTTTTGAAATTTGCTAAATTAGAAGATTTATGTTAATGTTTTTCAGATTGTTCCCAGTTTCCAGGGAGAAAATGATTTTTGTCTAAAAGGCGAAAATGGCATCTTATCTCAGCCCTATTAAAAAAAGCAGGTAAAATAAGGCACTTTGCCAGCTTGGCAGCCATGATGAGCTTGTCCAGAAAACTGCAATTTCTTCAGCGTACCACACTTACCCTGATAGGTTCAGGTACTTTCTTGTTGCTTAACAAAGACTGTGTTAAAGTCAGACACCTATTCTCTTTCTGTTTTCCTCCTGGTAGTTACGGTGTGCTGCTTTGGGAACTGCTAACAGGAGAAGTACCATTCCGAGGAATTGATGGTCTTGCGGTAGCATATGGTGTTGCCATGAATAAACTTGCTCTTCCAATCCCTTCCACGTGTCCAGAGCCTTTTGCCAAACTCATGGAAGGTAAGCCAGCTGTGGTGTGAGTATGGTTGGTGCTGTTTCTAGAATGCTGTTGAGTATTGCCTCTTTGCGTTGGTTTTGATACCTAAGAGCACAGATTTCTCAAATGGCTTTATTCAATGGTGCAAGTTGTTATGGGAGCTAGGCTTGGCTGTTAGTGTGCTGTGACAGTTACTCTATTACAGGAGTAGTATGTGAAAGAAATTTCCCTGCCCTTTTTTTATCAACTGGCTTTATAGGAAAATGGGGGCTATTACTGTCATCATCTAGCTGTTGTTTTCTAGTAGTGCAGACTCACCAACACCAAAACTTCACATATTTTGGTCTAGTTTGAAGTCTTCAACTTGTTTTGAAATCCATAGCTTGAACATCTTGCTAGGTAGTGTCAGATTGATTTGGAATGAAACTTCATCCTACTGACATTTCGGGGAGAGGGTTTGAATGTGGCTTTGACACTTGAAAACAACCCAAATTTTCAGTCAGAATGGTGTGATTTTCTGCGTTGTGTGTGGAGATAACTCATGCCCAAGGTGAGCTATATATGGATGAAAGAAATACAGGAGTTTGTCACCAGAGCTGCTGTAGTTCATTAAAAACGACTCTGTGAGGTAGCTTTTGGGGTGTACCTATGTCACCTGCTCTGCTGGCTATTGCAACTACTTACATATCTTCTGAGCTTCAGTTGTTCCTCCCTCCCTCCTTCCTTCCCTCCCCCTCTCACACTAGTACCTTTAAATGTTTTTTTTTTCAGTGCCCCTATTCCCAAGGATTTCCAGGTGTCTATATGTAATAAACATTTTTATACCAATCTGGCAGAAAGAAAACTCAGGTAAAGAGAAATCAAACATGGTTTATAGTCTTAGTGAGCAAAGAATGAGTCTGAACATAGAGCTGATATTCTGTGGTCTCTGGTGGTGTTTTTAGCCCCAAGAAAGGAATTTGATTCATGCAAGAAAATGTTTCTGATGGATTTCTCTGCTTTTAGAATACTTTGCATTTTTCTGGTCTTCTCTGTAGGTTACAGGCTTCAGTTAAGTTAAAGTAGAAAATTTCATGTACTGTTGTGCTAAAAAAACCCATCCTACTGGATAGTAAAGAGCAGTAGAGTTGCAGGTATAGTAGCTTGGAAGCAATGTAAAGCAAGAAACTGCATCTGAAAGAGTTAATGGAACTACCAGCTCAGTGTTGCGCCAGGGCAGTTTATTTTGACATGGTTCCCTAAAACAAGGACCCTGGATTTCTTAAATATAAGTGAGGTATCTGCTGCTGGGGTTAAAAATAATGCCCTCTGAGAAAGTCAGGTAGAGGCATATGGCCTGTGCTTGAACCCAGCAGCGCAGGGGTGAGCACCCACATGGCTTTGGAACGCTTGGCTTCTCCATGTGCAGGGGGGAAGAAGAGAACAAGAAAACAATTACTTTCTGCCCCTTCACCAAAACTGTTTTTCAAACAGGCTGTTTCCTGTCTCGGGTGAACTCTTGTTCCCCTAACGCTGCTTTTACTTTTGAATTACTGCCCTGGTGGTCTTCACTGAGACAGCAAAGCTGAAATTTCCCTCTTCACAGAAAAGACTTGTATGTTACAACTGTCCTCATTAGTGCAAATAATGGCAGATCTAGGCCTGGGAAAATAAAAGCCACGGGCCACCTGCATAGTTATCCTGTTCACTCATTCATGCATTTGGCTGGCTGCAGCATTTTGTTTTACTTTGGGTCATGTTTGCTTTGCCATGCTTAAAACCTGGGGTAAAGAGGCAGGGATTATGGCACTGACAGTCCAGCTGTATCACCCATTGCTACTAATTGGTCAGCAGCAGGGGACCTTCAGAGCACTCTTTAACATCCTCAGTTCTCCATTTTGATAAGAGAAGCAATTTGAAATCCGTAAATACAAATGTGTTCCAGCTTATGTCTCCTGGAACCTGAACAGATGCTTAAATTCCAGCATCTTGATACCAGCAGTTTTGAAACCAAAGCTCGCAAATGCAAAATCTCAGTAGTGCTAAAATCAAAGACCTGCAAAACTAAACCTCAGCAGTTGCACAGATTTTGTGAAGTGTTATTTATTTTTAATTACAGCTGCTCCTTAGTGTATTTCAATCCACAGAACTGATGAATGAATGTCTTTTTAGGACATCACCAAAATTTTTTTTAAGAAGGCTTCCTTTTTTCCAGCTGTAAGGTCTAGGAAACTTTAGAACACTTCTATAACTCTTGCCTCGTGCTGCAGTAATGTGTGTCTTTAAATCCAGTGACCATTAAGAGCAATGATAGTATGAGCATATTGAGAAAGACCCATGTGTTAGTTTCTTCCACTCATGCACAAAAGCTGTATTCCCTAGAAATATACTTGAATGCTAAGTTTTTCTGTTTGGTTCTTCTCAATTTTTGGCACGCAGGAGTCTAGCAGTACTAAAGAGAATAAGGATGCTTGCTGAACAAGAACCTGTGTAAGTGCCAGTACAGGACAATATAGAATGAGAAAGTGACGTTTTCTGCAGGAGTAGAAATAAGGGTGAAGTAAGAGGGAGGACTGAACGAGTAAGAATTTCCTATTCAAAAGTGTTGTTAAGTCAAACGTTTTGACTTAATGGCTTTTTAAAAACACGTTCTTAATGATTTTGTAGCTTGAGATATTACTTCATACCATTTTCTATTTCCGTTTCTGTTTTCAATGTTCAATTCCCACTACTGTAAAAGGAGTACCTTTTTGTACTATTGCTAGTTGAGTTGCCTCATGTGGTAAGATGGGTGCCTTAAATTCTGCGTTTTTAGAGCTCTGTACTTGGGTAAGCCATTGCATTAGACTGTAAATGAAAAAGCTTGTTTATCTGAGGTTTCTCTTAAAAGCAAAAGAAAAAAGCCTGATCAAACAATTTTTCTCTCAAATAAGAAAGAACCCTTAAAAGTAAGAAAACTCCAAATGCACTATTTGATGTCATTATTTGAATCTCCTATTTTCACTCAAGTTATGCCCAGCCTGCTTTGCAGGAGAGATTTTCAGTTCTATGGAAGAGATTCATAATGACTCAGCTTAGTATTAGAGTTTGGCATTAGAAAGAACTCTGATAGATATCCTTCTGCAGTGTGACTGTTAACTCTGCAGTGTAAGTGTGATAAAAGAACTGTTCACAGAAGTCTTGCATAGTATTTCCGCTCTGTGAGCACATACAACTTAAAGCAAAATATTTAAGGAAACTATTTATGATTTTTTAATATATGTTTGAAAATGTAACTTTCTGTAAAATTAGTAAACCTCTCTTTCACTTGGCATATTATTGCAATAGAACCTAGAGACCAGGTAGTTCAAGATGTTAAGTGATGTTGGATGTTGTATAAGCATGAAAGCGTGAATTCCATACTTGACTTACGATCAGACAATAGTCAATACATATGGGAAATGGGAAAGATGGGGTAACACAGAGAGTGTGCATGCCACTCTTAGCCACTGGGGATCAGTAAAGTACTACTCATCCTCTCAAACCTCCGTACTAAGAGGTGCTTAACAGTTGCTTGTCTTTGTCCTATTCTAGATTGTTGGAACCCTGACCCACACTCACGACCTTCCTTTGCCAGTATCCTAGACCATCTCACTGCCATAGAAGAGTCTGGTTTCTTTGAAATGCCCAAAGATTCCTTCCACTCCCTGCAGGAAGACTGGAAACAAGAGATCCAAGAGATGTTTGATCAGCTCAGAGCCAAAGAAAAGGTAAGTAGAGAAAAACACCCCATGATTGTGCGCTCTGGATTATAATTTTCCCATTTTATAATTCAAACAGGGATCATCGTTTAGTGCATCCCAGAGTTAATTTTGTGTGTGCTTTACTGGAGCTTGTAATAAGTCCCCAAATCAATGGCAGGTTGTAATGTACACAAGGGCAGAATCATGAGTAAAATAAGTATCTGCATTTTGAGCTGCTACTCTTTCTAATATTGTAGTGAGCTTCCATTATACGCTGCGCAAACTGCTATGATGAGTTGTCTTCATTGTTAAATGCATCTAATAACTATTTCACTGTTAACATCTTAATTGAGAAGCCCAATGATAACTGTTAACAATAAAAGTAGGAGAGAGAGTTTCACCATATATACTCTAGCAAACATTGCAGCTTTGGTTCTGTCAGATTTGCATTTTCCATGTTTTGAGCACAGCCAAAGTGGATAGACTATAATAAACATGAGTGCTACTAGGGGAATGGTCCAATAACTGTTATAATTGAAGTCCATCTGGGTAAATAGCAGGAAACAAAAATGCTAGCAGGAATAAAAGGAATTGTGATCATCAGCCTCAGAGTAGAAGTGAAAAAGCTGAAGTTTTCTTCAAGCATACTTGCAGAAAGCACAGCTTGCTGCATCTATATTAAGGTCCTTACAGAGACTGTCTTTACAGTTGTTCATGTGAAATACTGCAGTGGAATCACTAATAGTATTTTTCAGAGTTCACTGTCTCTTGCTTAAAAATAAATTCGTAATAAGCAGCCAACTTGATTTAGGCTCAGAAGTTGGATTTAGGAAGCAGAAAAAAAAGGACACCTTGGGGCAGAGGAGAGAAGTCCTACAACAATGCTTAAAACATTTCTATTCACATATTATAGTAGCTTTTGGGGAAAAATAAAATAGCTAATAGGCATTTCCCTGCTGCTATTGTCCCGGCGTAACTGTGTTGGAACAGTTTTTGAAAACCAGAAATTTCAACAGACAAACAGTAGTAGCTAGATTGCCCTCAGGTTTTGAGTACTGTATTCCTCTGTAGCGATGAGGAAAGAGAATTTTATATCCTATTCACCTCATGAGTAAAATGTACCAAACCTCTGTGGTGATGTACAGGTAACAATGACGTTATTTAAAAAAAAAAATCTAAACTAAATTATCTGTCTGATAATCTATCTGAAGTTTAACTTGAGTTCTTCAGTTTTTACCTTCTGCAGTGGAATTAGCCAGCTGGAGATAGTTATTCTGAGCGCTGAATTCTTATATCCTTGTGGTGAGAGGAGAGGAGTGCAGTGAGAAGACATTTTGTGATCTCAAGGACAGTTTCAGTTGATTAATTTTGTCAACAAGGGAAAGATTGAAAAGTTTGCCTCATGCATCTTTATGCCTAAGGAGCAGCCATGCTTGGCGGAAAATGGTGGGAATGACCTCCTGATGATGTTTTCTTCATTCATTTTTTAGAGCTGTGTTTTTTGCTATTTTATGATGCATGAGATGGCAAGGTTGTTTTTAAACAGTTTAAGTCAATACTGAAGTTAACATAGGTACTTACTGAACAGGAAAACAAGGATTAATTCTGTTCAGCGTTATGAATAAATCTTCCAAAATGGGTTCCCATATGCATGGTACTCTCCAATGGCTCTTGTAAACATGTTCATGTCAGATATCCAGCATATTTTTCTCATGACACTGAATTTAGGATTCAGTGCCTTTTCACAGAATCAGAGTGGTCGAGGCTGGAAGGGACCTCTGGAGGTCGTGTGGTCCAACTCCCCTACTCAAGCAGGGCCACCTAGAGCCAGTTGCCCCGAACCATGTCCAGATGGCTTTTGAATATCTCCAAGGAGGGAGACTCCACAACCCGTGCCAGTGCTTGGTAATGCTCACAGTAGAAGTGTGTTGTTCAGAGGGAATCTCCTGTGTTCCAGTGTGTGCCCATTGCCTCTTGTCCTGTCACTGGGCATCGCTGAAAAGAGCCTGGCTCTATCTTCCTTGCACCTTTCCTTCAGGTTTTTATATACACTGATAAGATCCCCCTTTTCCCCCACCCAAGCCTTCTCTTTGCTAAAGGATAAACAGTCCCATCTCTCAGCCCTTCCTCATAGAAGAGATGCTCCAGTCTCTTAATCATCCATTCGTTGGACTCTCTCCAGTATGTCCATGTCTGTCTTGTACTGGAGAGCCCAGAACTGGACACAGGATTCCAGGTGTGGCCTCACAAGTGCTGATGTCCAAATTTTAATACTGATATGAAAGGCCTTGAATGGCAAGCGTAGAAGTTCTTGAGGATTGTTTTAGATTTTTGGCTTTCAGCTGAGCCTTTAGACAGTGGCACTAGCAGTGCTGTGAGCACAAGTCATTGCTGCTGTACCTTCAGAATAGGTAATGTTAGTCTTAACCCGCAGGTCACAAGGTAGCTTTTTGTTTCTCCTTTCTTATCTCCCTGTAGGAGCTGCGCACATGGGAAGAAGAGCTGACTCGTGCTGCTGTTGAACAGAAGAACCATGAGGAGTTGCTACGAAGGCGGGAACAGGAGCTGGCAGAACGCGAGATTGACATCCTGGAAAGGGAGCTCAACATCATCATCCACCAGCTGTGTCAGGAGAAGCCTCGGGTGAAGAAACGCATGGGAAAGTTCAAGAGGAACCGCCTCAAGTTAAAAGATGGCAATCATATCAGCCTGCCTTCAGGTTGGTGACGTGTTAGGCTGTGTCAGGTGAAATGGGAGGAACAGGCGAACCTGTAGCTTTGGTAGCTCCTTTCTACTGATACTTACGCATTAGAAAGTATTGGATGTACTTTGGGAAAAACATGCCTCTTTGGGATCAAGAAACTAAATTTGATGCTCTTGTGGCTAGCATTCCCCAAAGTTTCAAGGCTGGGGAATGCTGTATGAAGGCTAGAAGTAAATTTGAGGTGTTACATGTTTGTTAGTCAACGGCTGTATATGGTTCACATAAAAATGTTGATGTTGCAGTTTAACATGTTAATACTCAAAATGATCAGTTTAATAAAGGGTGTACATAAAAATGGTGAAGGTTCTCGCTCTGGGATTATTTTACATAATGGTGCAGCAGAAACTATAATCTACTGGTTTTTTTGGTGCAACAATCTAAAAATTATCAAAAATACATTGATAGCTGTGAGACTACAACCCTACATTGCTAGTTCATATGTGAACTCATATTAACACACAAGTGACCTCTAATACCACCCTCCTTGAAGAAGGTGTCAGGGAAGTCAGTCTTAAGAGTGAAGATGGTGATTTTCTGCTGTGGATTCTGTATGGAGATTCAAATTTGTAAAAGAATAAAAGTGTGGGTTTTGTAAATCACCTAAGGGTCATCATTAAGGATGATGTCTTACACTATATTCTTTGTTTTCTGAGAGAGATGGGCTGTTCAGAAGAGCAATGATGATAAAACGTGCATGTTAACTATGCCTTTCTTCAGGTCTGTAAACATCTATTGCTGGTGGTTTTGCTTAGATTAAGAAACTGAGAGATAAGGTGAAAGGAATTTATACAGGGATATACTTTGGCATAAATGTCAGTCAACACATGGGGATCTACGTGTGTATGTATCTCATACATACTCTAAGAAGAAATACCTTCATGAGTGTGAGCGCACATCTTTGTTCTGAAGTAACTGCATGTATGATGGGGGGATAGCAATTAGCTGTAAAACTTCATTTCTACATAGATCCTGTAAATTGTGCTCTTTGAAAGTTACCATAAATTATTATTTCTTTTTTCTTATATTAAAAAAAGAATTTTAACTGTGTCTTTCTGCTTTTGTCTTGATTTTTTTCTTTTTCTTTTGATAAACAGATTTCCAGCATAAATTCACTGTGCAGGCTTCTCCAACGATGGATAAAAGGAAAAGCTTGATCAGTAGCTGTTCCAGCCCTCCTGCAAGCCCTACCATTATTCCCAGACTCAGGGCCATACAGTGTAAGGAGCTCAATGTAGTATTGAATTTGGGAAATGTGCAGTCTGTCAGCGTGGTAAGATGCCAAGATTCCATATCTAGGACAGGACTGTAAAAAAAAAAAGTTCTTAAAATGTTTGCCTTGTGCCCTGCATGTATGCATTTAGAGAGAAAAATGGAGTGTGTTGGTGATGGGGGGGAGTATCACCTTCTTTGGAGTCCAAACCTTAATTACCCAAGTTCTTGAAATATTGCTGTTTGATTGTATAGAAAATACGTTCCTTAGGTGTACGGGTTAATTTTTAAAAATACTAATTTGCAGAATAGATCTGTGAAACATTATTGAAGTGGATTCAGTTACTGTTGGAAGGGAAGAAAAACAAGGGTGCTTGTCATGAAAATAGTGTTCCCAAAAAAACCAGAATTAGGCAGACAAGCATGTATTAGAAGTATGAAAGGGATGTTAGTTAATGTGTAGTGTTTGTATTGGATATCATGACACTTGTGTGTCTGGTATCAAACTGGTGGTTCTAAAAAAGAGAAACTAGTGATGGAATAAAGCTGTAAAGCCTATCTATACTAATTTTGAAGGGATCTGGTTGTTAGATCTGTTTTGATAAATGATCAGAATTATGGGAAAGAAGCCTGAATGGATGTTTTCATTACTATTCCTGTTCTGGCCTATATTTTATTCCTTATGTTGCTATGGAACCAATTCTTTAATTTGTGTATCTGTTTTTGTTTCCCATTTTCCACTGTTCTTCCCACTTGTGAAGTGACTCCTGCTGAAAGCAGTAAAACGTGGGGACGAAGCTCAGTCCTTCCAAAGGAGGAAGGAGAGGAAGAAGAGAAGAGAGGCCAGAAGAAAAAGGGACGCACCTGGGGACCGAGCTCACTTTGTCACAAGGAGCTAGGTGCAGGAGAAGATGGGTAAGAGAGGGCCTGGAACCAGACTGGCTTCCAGGTTCTAAAACTGGTTATGAGCTGGCTCACAGGAAATTTGCTATCCTCTTGCAAACGCTTCTGCTTCCAAACTTACTTGCTGTACCAGAGATGTTAGAGATTCAGAAGAGATTACACAACTGCATTGCATTCAATCCCTTGCTAGAGATCCAGCATGGACTGATGCTTTCACTGTCTGCTATTACCTTGTTATGTGTATTTGTAAGCAGTAGAACTTCTTAGCTGTGCAAAACTGTTTCTCTAGTAGCTTTTCTTTATTTTCAGGCTCAACTTTCTGTAGTTTCATATCATATCTGAAACTACTTCTCTTTTACAACTCCCAGCTATGCTTTTTCTTGTCTTAAATGTTATTATTTAAAAAGTATCCGGTAGAGCCAGGCAAATATCTTCTCTTCAGGCTTTTGAAAAGGACACGTACCTTGAGTGAATACATCCTGAAAGTGATTTTAGCAGAGATACAGGTTGTACCTCTATTTCTATAGATTCTTGTTCTGTGGCTTCTTTTTTTTTTTTCATATGTGAATTATTTATACCAGGACTCCAATGGATCATTGCCAAAATGCTGTGTTAAACATAGGAGTATTTTGATCTTCTAAGAGGTTTGAATGCCTCGTGATTTTTAGTGGAGTTTGAAGCTTTTTCCCCTGCTAAATTGATAGTTTGACCCTTGCCATATTTTTAAACAGGGAAAATAAAATAACTGGTTACAATTTATCTTTAATATTATGTGCTCAGGTGTGAAATTCCTGGAAAATAGATGTTTACATAATGCATCACTATTGCAGGCCTCTGCAAGAGGGCCTGGATCTAAGTGTTCTAATGACATTAAAATATGTTCTCCATCAAAGGTACTCCTGACATGCTAACAGGGCAGTGTGGAGGAAGCTTCTTTGACTGCTGCCTATGCTTTACCTATGTTATAGATGAAGTATAGTATTCTACAGAATTAAAACAGGTGTCACACTTTACAATCATTATATAAAAGGGCAGGAGATCACTGAAGCTGGTAGAAAAACACTTCTACCTTGAAATCATGTTCTTAGAATTCTGGGAATAAAGCTCTTCAGTTTTCTGTTCATTATTGTACAGTCTGAAGCACTGAATTGCTTTTGGGCACAGACAGCTGGAAAGGAGTTGCTTGCTAACCATGGTTGCTCTTAAAACTATCCTGTTCTCTCTGAGATGTTCTACAGTATTCGTCACCTTTTCCAGGGAGACTCAATACAGCTATGGCATTTTGCAGAGTATCTGAAACATGATAGTGTTTCTGAGAAGGCAGTATGGTTAACATACAATGAACTACTGCTTCCTGCTGAGATCATGCCAGACTGCAGACTTTAATTTAAAGGGAGCAGAGTTTCAGTAAATGTTAGTGACTCAAAAGAGAGAGTGCTTGCTATTTTTAGTATTTTTTAATTCTAATTTTAGAGGGTAGGGGGATAAAAATTGGGGTAAAGTGAAGAGCTAAATTTAGGATAGAAAAGTCCAGTTCAAGTCTTCTCCATGACACTGTACTGGTAGCAGCAGTGCTGCTATTCCAGCTGTGTACATGACTTTTTGATCAAGGGAACTTGAATCTTCATCTTTTTTATCACTTTCCATGTGTTGTCCACAGGAGGCAATTTGAAATTTATGCAAGAATTACATTGTGGGAATTGCAGTGAAATTCTCTAGCATGAGTAAACTGACCTGTAATTAACACCAAGTAAAGGCAGTCATGAAAATATTATACAGTGATTATTCACCCTTCTGCATTTATCTTTGAGCATACGGAATATGCACAGCAGCAGAAGGTTGCTGTGCTGAATTGCAGAGACTGGATGAAGCTTTATGTTGGACTAGTGTTGTGACAGTTCAGTTGTGATTTTGTGGTATATTCTCAAGGATATATGGTGAAGTCTTAATTGTCTTTAAACTTGGCATTGATTAGTCTGACTGTTACTATGACATGGGTGATCTTTACCCTGTTTAAGTTTTCATGCTGGTGGTGTTATTGATTTTATGGAAGGTGACACTGCATGTGGGGTAGTCAGAGCCCTTTAGCATTTATCTCTTAAAATCTTGCAAGCTAAATAGGGGTGAGCCTGGGAGCAGACACTTTTTATTCATGACAGTATTGTATTAATGCCTCAACATGGCGTTACAGAATGGTATTAAGACACCAGATGCTGTCTTACAGTTGTAGGGAAGCTTTTTGCAATTTGCTGAGCAAATAAGCCTTGTCACCTTATCACTCCTGAAGAGAGGTGCTTTTGACTTCCCAATAGAAAAAGTCAACAGAGAAGTAACTCAACCATAATACAACAGAGTAATAACCTTCCTGTTATTTAATCTAAATAGATTACAGGTAAGAAGTCTTTAGGTTCCTGAATTGTCATGCTGGTGACTGAAATATACAGTTTTGCTGCTGCTGCTTTCAAATCATTCCAGTTGCTCTTTCCTTGGAGCAGTAACAGGTAATACTGCTGTAGTAGGAATGTACTCTAAGTCAGCATGTTTTGAATTGTTTTCAAATGCACGCTACTGTCTAATTAAGAGGATGTGCAGCTATCCTCTGCACAGGTCTTCAGGGTCTGCTTGTAATTTGGGGGGGAGAGAGAAGGAGCGAAAAATAAAAGGGAAGGATGAAGATTTTAGAACCTTGAGGCGAATGTGGCAGGCCTTGAAATTATTCTGGTAGCTATTTATCTTTCTGTTCAGATTGAGCTGCGCTTTGTCAGTAACAGCAAATCTTCAGTCTGTTTTTTGCAAGGGAAGATTGCTCTGAGAAGTCATAAGGAAGCAAACTAAGTTGTTGTGTCCTGCTGTACAATAAAGGGCAATTCCCAAGACCCTTTAGATAACTATGACTGTAAAGTGAAGGCGAAACTGAAGATTATTGCTGCCTATCACTTACAACTTTGCTATCTCTGCATATAGAGAACAGAGTATGTGTTTTCCTAGCTCCATGGAAATGCTCCCTTCCTCAATAGTTGTCTACCCATATTGTAGGAGCTTTGACATTTACTTTTGGAGGTGATCACACTGCTAACATGGTTTGTTTTTACTCACCAACTTTCCCTTAATATGCTGCTCTATTTATAGTATTTATCCTAACTATGCATGTTCTACACATGGATAATTTAGATACAACATACATTATTTGGTGGGTTGTGTTGCATAGCTGAGTATAATATGGAGGGAGTAAACCACACACTGAATTGCATCTCTGTTGTAAAACTGTGTGGTTGTATGTCTTGACAAGTAGGATTCAGCACTGTGCTGTCTGGATTGAAGTTCATAGCAGGGTACTATGATGGAAAATCATGGACTTTCAAGACAGTTGAGAACTGCACAGGATACTTTTATTGTAATGCCTATAGCATGGTCATCAACCAACTGAACATGTGCTGAATCAGGTTTAGGCCTTGTGACCTTGCTATAGCAATATAGTTTGGTGACACGTAGGGCATCCCAGTTAGGTAGAGAATAGAGGAAAAATACATACCAAGGCAAAAAAAAAAAAAGATACAAAACTTTGAAATCCTGCAATGGAAGCCATCTTAGAAATGCAGAGTGATTCTGGTAGAAAAAATAAGAATTATGAGACATAATTTCTGTATGCTCATATCCTTCTTTCTCTGCAAGGGAAGGATTGTAATGAATTGTGTGTTTTATCAAAGAACAATGCAAGTTAGTAATGGAGCTGGAAGAGGTCTCATCTCCTAAGTTTTCTGTTCTTTCAATAATAAGTCGATGCTCTTGTGTGTCTAGTTGAGATCATTCAGACTATCCATACATCTTTTTACACCTTTCATTCAATTTCTGTCTATCCTAAGTGTATGTTAGCTTTTCACCAACACTATGATGTGTTTCACGTTGGAGTTTGGAGAAAGGCACCAGAAATCTTCCAGTTCAGACTGTATTGATAACTGAACAATAAAACTTTTTGCTAAGTGTTGATATGTCAGAAAGTTGTGCTGCTTACTAAAGTTGTTTCTGATGTCATGAAGTACTGCAGGGAACAAATAGGATGATGGTAATAAATACCTATGAACGAGGACTACTAATAAGCTTGGGTGCCTGGTGACATACGCAGGTGATGTCAAAGTAGGAATTTGGTTTGGGGTTTTTCACTTGTTTGTTTTTGTGGGTTTTGGGTGGTTTTGTCTGTAAGTAAGAGAAACAATGACATGATTTATGATTTTAGTTACCTATTTTTCCATAATCTAGAACTTATGCTTTTAACTGTACTTCAATGCTGTGTTTTCTTTAGAGGAGAAATGTTGGGCTTTATAATATAGAAGCATGACTTCGCTGTTACAATGACTTTAGCATATTATTGTCCCGGTGGGTGATCTTTGACTTTCATTGTTCATTTATATTTCACATGGAAATGTTTTTGGAGATATTTTTCCCCTCCTCCTGCTAAGCACTTTATTTTTTACCTGCCATGGTAGGTTTACCTTGGTTTAAAAAGAAAATGTTTCATCTGATTTTTGTAGTGGTGTTTTCTATTATTCTGCTTTCATAGCTGTTGGTTATCAGCAGAGGTCTTTTGACTGCCATGGTGTAACAAATGAGGGGACTTTTTGACTTTTTTTGTATTTTAAGGTGCTGTAAAGATGTTGCAAAATGTCTTGCTGTGGGAAGACTTCAAATCTATGTAATTAGAGATGGATACATGCATACCCAAAGTAAAGCGATAGAGAATATAGAAGGGGGAATGAAAATTGGTTGTGAGCATGGTACATTTTCTCCCATCTTTCTACTATTTCAGTCTGAAAGCTCTGGTAGAAGGATACAAACAGTGGTCATCCAGTGCACCGAACCTTGGGAAGATCCAGAGAACTGCACCTGCTTTTCCAGGATTCACCAGCTTAGCAGAGATGGGTAAAGGAATTCCCTGGACTTTATATTCTCATCCCCACTTCCATTCATGTTTGAATGAACCTCTCCTTTCCTGACCTTTACCTGGTACCTTACAGTAATGTTCTCATTTTGGTGGTATCCATTTTTCTTTTATTCTTCGTGAAGTAACTACTTTCTCCTTCTGGATTTTCTTTTTGTTCACTTCTCTGCTTGTGCTTCTTATCTGTCAAGCTAACAAGCTTCTCTTAATTCCCCTCTAGCTCCATGCTACCTCTCAGCTCCTTTCCTGTTAATGATATTTACATGTGCAGCATGGTTACACCTTCACTTGCAAGGAGAGATCCTTATAATTTTCCTGCCTTTTGCTCCTCACTCCCAAACATACAAATTTACTCTAGAAGTATCTGAGGTTATTGTGGTTTAACCCCAGTCAGCAACTAAGCACCACACAGCCACTCGCTCACCTTCCCCCCCACACCCCCCGGTGGGATGGGGGAGAGAATCAGAAGAGCAAAAGTAAGAAAAATTGTGGGTTGAGATAAGAACAGTTTAATATTTGAAATAATATAATAATAACAACAACAATAATAAATTGTAATGGAAAGTAAAACAATGAGAGAGAGAGGGGAACAAAACCTAGGAAGGAAAAAAAAAACAAAAAAACCC